GCTTGTTCCTGGGGAGAAGAGACCGACCCCCCCGGCTCCAGCCTCCTTTCAGGCAGTTGCAGAGAGCGATGAGGGCTCCCCTCAGCCTCCTCTTCTCCAGGCTGAGCCCCCCCAGCTCCCCCAGCCGCTCCTCCTTTAATTGTTTTGCAGTGTGATGTTGGATTGGGAAGCTGTTTTCAGGTAGCTCCTAACCGGTTTCTTTCAAGACATGAAATGGGACTGGGGATCTTCCTGAGCAATGGCCAAACAGAACCTGGGCACCGTTTTTGCTCCCCACAGTTTCAAAAACGCACAGGCTTGCCTGCCAAGGAAAATCAAACCGGATTCTCCCTTCCAGCAGGCAGCCCATTTCCCATTCATCTGCACTGCAGGGAGCCGAGTCCTGGCACCAAAATATAGTGTTTAACCTGTGATGGCATTTTCAGCATCAACTGTTTCTCTGGACACCGAGCCACAGTAATACTGTGAAACGCAACGAGGGCTGTTGGTCAGATAAAAGAACTTTGGTTTTGCTCTTTGAGTTGGTTTGGTGCATTTGTTTTGCTGGTAGCCGTTGGGAGCTCTGCAGGGCAGGAGGTGTCGGTCAGCCCTGTCTGCGAAGGTGGAAGTTCGGTGATCAGCACCCACCAAATCCTTGAACGTTGCAGGCAGGAGTGGGTGAAATGTGTTTGTGCGTGAGAGCTGGCACCTCCTTTCAGTATGTTGTGGCCACAAGATGATAAACCACTCCACGCTGGATTTGTACCTAGGCTTTTGTGGTCGGGGTCCAGCAAGAGGTCTGCTCGATGCCACACCGTGGACCTAACAGTGCTCCAGTTTCCCTTTAAGGCCTTCATGGTTTCCCAGGGAAAAGTAACTCAGAACCGCTTTTGCTCCTCGTATCCTGTACAGCCAACGGGCAACCGCCGTGTCTTCACTGAAAGCTTGCAGCTCCCCCATGCCAGCGGACAGAGGAGAACCACCACCAGGAGAATAAGTGGTACGGCACTTGACCTATAACTTCCCATGTTGAGAGCACTGACCGCTCAAAGGCTCGCAGCTACCTACTGCATCCCATAATATCTTGCTCCTTTACTGGGAAGAGATGGCTCCCTTCCAGGGATTAGGTCATTTGTGCCCATTGCAGCACTTGATCCACCGATGGGATCGCCAGCGCACCGGGCACTTTGAGCATCGGGCTAACGAGCTGTTCTTCTTCACGTTGTTACTCTTCAGCTCCTGCCAGACGATAAGGAATTCCTTTAGGGTCTTCCCATGGAATTGCTGCTTTTCTTTCCCATCCTTCCCAGTAACTCTCTTGATGCAGGTAAAATTAAGGAGGGATAAGAATCAAATATTTATCCATTTAAATCTCAATCTAAAAGAGATTTCACTTCAAAGACACCCAGCCAGTCTAGTGGGGACCTTGATGTATGTTTTAAAAACAATGTTGTTTTTGTTTTAAAACAATCTTGTAGGTCCCAAAAAACAGAGGTGAACTTGACAGGTTTCTTAAAATCGGGCTCGCTTTTCGTTCCTCTTCCTTTTTGCATTTCTCTGAACGTTGCCAGCTTAAGCTGCCCAAGTCGATGAATTACGCCTGTCAGCTCTTCAGGGTCTGTTCAAAACGATGGTGAGAGAACGGGAGGCTGCTCTCCTGGGACCGGCTCCGGAGCCTGGAAGACCGGAGACGGCAGAACAGCCGGAATCGGCTGCTTTTGTCACCCCTCGGCTGCAGGAGCCCGGAGCTCAGGGCAGAGCACGGACCGTGCGGGGACTCGGGAGCAGCGGAGAGCAGGGCTCGCTCGCACGGCCGCTGCGGG